AATTAATTAATTAAAATTAAAAATAAATTGGAAACTTTTAGAATTAAACAATTTGTATTACAGTTTATATCTCTTGGTTAGCACTTTAATAAGAGAATGTTTACATTGTAGAATACATTTTTGTCATAGACTGTATTTTCAACTTTTAATTATATAATGATTTATACATTTAATATATATTTCCACACGGGTGACTACATAACGTTACTATAATTCCTAGACAACATCAATTAAAATTTTTAATATACATAGCTATAGGCCCATCAATTCCAAAATTAATAATTTACAGAAATAAAATCAGTAACATTAGCATTGTTCATAGTGCAGAAAACTGGAAACAAGGAGAATTTACATACCAGTTAAGATAGAGTAGGTTATGCCAACAATCATAGACAGCCCCAAACTCTTAGGGGCTTAACACTACAAAGTCTTATTTCTTATTCATACTACCTGACCATGATGGGGCAATTTTATTCTGTGTACTTTTCATTCACAGACATAGAATGACAGGAGTTTCATCGTCTATAACTCACAAATTGCTGCAGCAGGACGAAGAGTGTGATAGAAGGTCTCACACTACTAATCAAATACTCTAGCACAAGAGTAATTAATGTACAACAGTTCTCCCTAAACTTATTGGCTGGGACTTATCCTATAGGCTCACCAAGATGGGAATGGAAATCTAATCTTTTCACATGCCCAGAAGAAGAAAGGAAAACAACTAGGTATATGTGATCATTAAAGTCTCTACTACAGTTTAATAAGTTGCTGAATTATGATATATCCATGAAATATTTCTACAGCCACTTAAAATAATGAATTGGAAGCATACCATATGTCATAGATTTTCATGAGATACTAAGTAAATTTTAAAGACTCTGAAAAGTATATATATCATCCCATTTTCGTAAACTATGACCAAAGAATCCTGTGTGTATATATGCATATGTAAAAAATACTTAATTAAATACATTATTATCTATATCTATGATTAAGAAAAATAGGAAAACTTTTTTCCACCCCAGGAGGAGGAGATTTGGCAGAAGGGTCCCTAATGTGTGTAGAAAGGGGAATAAAGAGAGTGAGGATAAACAAAAGGGGGATAAAAAGAGGGTATTGAGATTTTATATGATTATATTTATGTACTGATGTAAATTATGTACATGCATTAGAAATCAAGTCATTTTTCAAAACTATCTTTTCCTTTTAATTTTGATTACTTTCATAGGCCTCAAATTACTGATCTGTTGAAATTAAATCTTTTCATTTCCCTCCAGCTCTAAACTCTACGATTTCATAACTTAAATAATGTTAAGTCTTATCTGTCTCCTGTTTGTTATTTCCTGTTTCTAACTCAGAGATGACCTTCTACTGATTAAAGTTCTGGATGTACTTCTCTAGCCTGCAGACTATTAATTATACTGAATTCAGGTTGCCTGAGTTATAAATAATTTATTTCTAACCTTTATATCAACCAAAGCAAGTTGCTCTTTGACATCATGAATTTACATTTACATGAGTGGGAGATATTTTATTTCTGTTAAAGTGACAAAATCATAGATATTTTTCTTAGGCTAGGTATAAAACATAATCTAAAAGTCTGGAACTTAAATTTTTAGTCTAAGAAATCTTCCCATCTCCCACCTGGACTATTTCAATAGGTACAATATCTTTACCTTGTTCCAATTTACCTTTACTGAGCTTTCTAAAGGCTGCTATTTATTCTGGCTTAATTTTCTCTTGTCCTTCTAATATACCTATAACATCTTTTTTTTTTTTAAGGTAGTGAGCACGTGAGTGGGGTGGGGAAGGGTAGAAGGAGAGAGAAAATCTTAAGCAGGCTCCACTCAGGACAGAGCCTGAGGCAGGGCTCATTCTCACAACCCTGAGATCATGACCTGAGCAGAAATCAAGTCAGTTGCCCAACTGACTGAACCCACCAAGGCACCTCTATAGTATTCTTGTTTATGTCCAAAATTCACCTCTTCTAGAAGACCATCTCAGAAGCCAAGACATGAAATTATCTTTCATGTCTCTGTATCTTATATATACATACTATTGAATTACTTACATTATAAGTGATTCATTTGTTTACACATTTATATTTCTTTTATCATGTTCAGTTAGCCACCATATAAACATCATTAGTTTTTGATGTATTGTTCAACGATTCGTTAGTTGCATAGAACACCTAGTGCTCATCACAACATGTGCCCTCCTTAATACCCCTCACCCAGCTATCCCATCCCCCTACACTTCTCCCCTCTGAAACCCTCAGTTTGTTTTCCAGAGTCCATAGTCTCTCATGATTTGTCTCTGTCAGTGATTCCCCCCTTCAGTTTTCCCTCCCTTCCCCTATCATCTTCTGTGCTATTCCTTATGTTCCACATATGAATGAAACCATATGATAATTGTCTTTCTCTGCTTGACTTATTTCACTTAGCATAACCCCTTCCAGTTTCATCCATGTTAATGCAAATGGTGGATATTCATCCTTTCTGATCGCTGAGTAATATTCCCTTATATATATGTACCACATCTTCTTTATCCATTCATCTATTGAAGGGCATCTCGGCTCCTTCCACAGTTTGGCTATGGTGGATATGGTGGCAAGGGGGTCTCTTTAAAAAATGGTGCTGGAAAATTGGACAGCTACATACAGAAGAATGAAACTAGACCATTCTCTTACACCATACACAAAGATAAACTCAAAATGGATGAAAGACCTCAATGTCAGATAGGAATCCATCAAAAACCTAGAGGAGGGGTGCCTGGGTGACTCAGGGAGTTAAGCTCTGCCTTTGGCTCAGGTCATGATCTCAGGGTACTGGGATTGAGCCACGCATCAGGATCTCTACTCATCAGGGAGCTTGCCTCCCCCCTTCTCTCTCTCTCTGCCTGCCTACTTGTGATCTCTGTTAAATAAATTAAAAAACCTTAAAAAAAAAAAACCTAGAGGAGAACATAGACAATAACCTCTTCAACACTGGCCCCAGCAACTTCTTTAAAGAGACATCTCCAAAGGCAAAGAAAACAAAAGCAAAATGAACTTTTGGGACTTCATCAAGATAAAAAGCTTCTGCACAGCCAAGCAAACAGTCAACAAAACCAAGAGACAACCCACAGAATGGGAAAAGATATTTGCAAGTGACAGTACAGATAAAGGGCTGGTATCCAAGATCTATAAAGAACTTCTCAAACCCAGCCCCCGAAAAACAAATAATCCAGTCAAAAAATGGGCAGAAGACATGAATAGACACTTCTCCAAAGAAGACATACAAATGGCTAACAGGCACATGAAAAGATGTTCAACATCACTAGCCATCAGGGAAATTCAAATTAAAACCACAATAAGATACCACTTTACACAGTTAGAATGGCAAAAATTAAGAAGGCAGAACACAACAATGTTGGCAAGGATGTGGAGAGAGGGAAACCTCTTACACTGTTGGTGGGAATGCAAGCTGGTAGAGCCACTCTGGAAAACAGTTTAAAGATTCCTCAAAAAGTTAAAAATAAAACTACACTATGATTCAGCAATCATACTACTAGGTATTTACACAAAAGATACAGATGTAGTGAAAAGAAGGAGCACATTCACATTTATATTTGCTACTGGACTTCAAGTCATTGAAAGCAGAGATTGTATATCATACAGATAATCCCAAATCCAATGATTTATGCTTTCAGGTATTGACACCCAGAAGGATTTGACACAGGGGAATACTCCCTTCTTGAATCTGTAATTACACTTCACTTCCCTGTCCTTAATCTTTGCAGCAACTCCTCTATTGCTTGACTTTTAAATGCTCCAGTATCCCAAGGCTCAATTTTTTTTCTATTAACTATACATTCACTGTCATAAAGAGAGTGCATTCAGTCCCATGCTTTAAATGACATGTATATGTCAATGACTACTAAATAATGACCCTTCTGGAGAATTCCAGATTCATTTGTTCAATGACCTACCAACTGCTCCACTTAGATATCTAAGATATCTCAGCTATTACACAGCACCTCCCCCACAAAAAATATTACATAGCTCAAAACAGAACTTCAAGATCCAACTTTGCTCCTTGTCTTTCCTTCACCTCATCCTTATTTCAGGAAATATGTCAGCAAATCTTTTTGGTGCTTCCCCGTTTGCAGCAACCTTGGAAGCCAGTTGTTGAGCGAGTCAGAACTAAAAGCTAGAAGGAGCCAGGTTTCCTGAATCACTGCCTGGAGGAATGCTGCTTACTAAATAGGAACATTTATGATGGACTTTAGAGAATTGAGAAGTCGATGAATGATTAGCCAGAGAAGCTAGCATTACCTCAACTAATACACTAGTCTTGTTTACTTTAAAGTGTTTGAAAATATATAGCTTTAAATATGAAATATCACACTATCAAGTCTAATAATACTCTAAAAAATACTTTCTCAGGAGACTCATAAATTTTCAATTAAGATATCAGAAGCTGGAAGTCCCAAAACCATGTCCAGGTTCATTTATTTATTGTCTATTTCCCTCACTAAAATATAAGCTGTAGAAGAACAGAGGGTTTATTTTTCTGTTCTGTTCATTGTCATATCTCCAGTATCTAGAACTGTATTTGACTCATAGAAGGCACTCAATAAATACTTGTTTAAATTAATGAGTGTTGAATAAATAATGTTAGGAAGCCATACTGGTATAGCCTTTTTTTTCCTACAACTGAAGGGCACTTGTCAATTTTATAAACAGATAAAACTGCTTCAGAACTGTGAAACTTCACCATAATGACCTTAAGATTTAAAAAATAACATTATGATCAGCTGTTCAGATGACCTCACAGAATCAATGAAAAGCATTTATTTGCATCCAAATATTTTAATAATAAAGAATAAAGAGTACATCTCAATGTGTTCCTAGCATTCAATAGATAACTTCACAAATTTGAAAAATTAAAACAATTTTTATGAATACAAGAAAGATGAAAACAAAATATAATCATCTTATTATCTGAACAGAATTACAAGGTTTCAGGTAATGTGGTAATTTTAGGCCAAAACATAAAAATCATAAAAAACAAATTATGTAAATACAAAAAAGTCTCAATGTCAGAAAATGTTTGGCTCTTCAGAAAATAAAACATCTTTAAATTAATTATAAATCTCATGTTATTAGGCTCCCTAATCACACTGATTTTCTGAGATTAAACAAATAACTTCTCTGCATCCTTTAGTTTTTTTTTCCTATCCATTTTAGCAATTACAGCCCAACGATCTTCCCGCATTTTCCTTGTAGCTCCAAACTTCAGCATAGATCCAGGGGTTGTTAGAGATGAAGGGGTCTGAATAAAAAATCAAATTAAATCAAATCAAAATATGCTTAATTTAAAAAGATAAAGTCCAGCTTCTGAAATTTGATTTCCGAAGGAAAAATTAAAAACTACCTTAAAAAAAACACACTACCTTTTTTGGTGTTCTGACACAAAGATGAGAAGTTGTTGGATTATTATTCTTGTATAATTTTTTCAATGTCTCTTCCTCTGAAACCATGCTCTTAAAGAAAAATACAAAAAATATAATCTGGGGTCTGTCATCACTAATACTAAAATTTTGTCCATATATCACAGAGAGGAGGAGAAACACAAGGAAGGGAAATGGGGGAAGGGAGAAAGAAAGGAGGTGAAAGAAGAGAGACAAGAGAAAGAGGAGAGAAAAAAAGAAGAAAAACTGAAGGCAATGACAAAATAATCTTCCAAACAAGGATAGAGATTTAGATTCTATTAACAATACTGCATTATATGAAATACTAATAACTATATTGTATTATATGAAATACAACATGTATATAAATAGTACTTTTCTACTGATTTCTACTTCAGTTTCAGAGTCTTTATACTACTACTTTTCCTTCCACTTCCCCCCAGCCTACTTACTTAAACTCACACTTTGGCCTTATAATAAGCATGTATAATCCTATAAAAATTATAATGTTATCAACTATCAACAATGGGTATTTTAATTCCCCCAAATAATAATAGCTAACACTAATTTAGTAATTTATGTTAGGAGCTGTTTTAAGCACTTTGTCTATTTTAATTAATTTTAATCCTCACAATAATTTTATAAAGTAGGTATACTATTATTATCCCCATTTTAAAGGTGAAGAACTGAGACACAGAAATGTTAAGTACTTTGCCTAAGATTACACAACTAGTTAAGAGGTGGAGCCGGGATTCAAATCCAGATAGGCTGGCCTAGAAATCCACTCTCTTAATGAATATACTATACAGATTTATTAGTCTGGTGAGCAATCAGTTCACAGTATCTTGTCCTGTTCACTAATGTCACATTTACAGAGGCTTCATGAATAAAAATATTCAAACAGATTTACAGACAGTTTTATCTGCAACATTCATCTTTTCATGTGCTTGTTGGCCATTTGTATATCCTCTTTGGATAAATGTGTATTCAAGTCCTTTGCCCATTTTTTATCAGGTTATATGGTTTTTATTGTTGAGTTATGGGAGTTCTTTATGTATTCCATTTATCCCTTTTCAGATATATGATTTGGAAATACTTTCTGCCATTCTTGAGCTTGTCTTTTCTCTTTCTTAGTAGTGTCCTTTAAAGCACAAAAATTCTTAATTTTGAAGTCAAATTCATCAGTTTTCTCTTTTCTTGCCTGTACTTTTGGTGTCTTACTCATGAGGCCCTTGCTAAATTCGAAGTCATGAAAATGTCCCCAATATTTTCTTATGTTTCATAGCTCTAGCCCTTAAGTTTTGGTTTTTGATCCATTTTGAATCAATTTTTATATGTGGTATAAAAAGTCCGACTTCATTCTTTTGCATGTGGATTTCCAATATCCAGTTCTAACACCATTAGCTGGGGGGAAAAAAAGTCCTTTCCCCCACTGGGTGGTCTTGGCACTCTTGCCAAAAATTAATTGGCTATATTTGTGAGAATTTATTTCTGGGCTCCTTTATTCCATTGATCTATAGATCTGCCCTTATCCTACTACGAATCTGTTTAAATTACTACCTTTGCAGAAAGTTTCAAGGCTGAGAACTGTGAGTCCTCCAGCATTATCCTTCTTTTTCAAAATTATTTTAGCTATTTAGGACCCTTGCAATTCTATATGAATTTGAGTATCAGATTTTCCATTTCTGCCAAAAAGCTGTTGGAATTTTGATTGAGATTGCACTGAATGTGTGGACTGCTTTCAGTAGTACTGACATTTTTTTGTTCAAATAGCCAGCATATAGGACATCTTCACAGGTTTAAGGCTTCACACCCATAAACACAATTTTTTTTTCTAACTCTTAGGTCTTCTTTAATTTCCTTCAGCAATGTTTTATAGTTTTTATTGTATTTCAGTATTTCACTTTCTTGGTTATGTTTGTTCCTAAATATTCAACTTGTTTAGATGATAATGGACATGGATAATTTTCTTAATTTTCTTTAATTATCTTTTGGATTAATCATTGTTGGTATATAAAAATATAACCGATGTCATGTGTTTTTATACCCTTCCACATTGCTGAATTCATTTTTAGCTCTAGTAGCCTTCTTGTGGAGTCTTTGTGATTTTCAATGGATAGGATTATGGCATAAGCAAATAGTTTTAACTCATTCTCATTTGTATGCCTGCTTTTTCTCTCCATCTCCCTTTGTTTTTTTCTAATAGCCTAATAGTTCTGGCTAGAACTTCCAGTACAATGTTGACTAGCAGTGGTGAAAGTGGACATCCTTGTCTTGTATTTTTTTTTTTTAAGATTTTATTTATTTTTCAGAGAGAGACACAGCAAGACCTGAGCTGAAGGCAGACGCTAAATGACTGAGCCACCCAGGTGCTCCCCCACCCCGTCTCATTCTTAATTTAAGGGATAAGTTTTCAATTGAGTAGAATGTTAGCTCCAAGTTTTCGTAAGTATTTTTTATCATGCAGAGGAATTGTTCCTCTATTCCTACCTTTATAAGAGTTTCTATCATGAAAAAAAATGTTGGATTTTGTCAAATGCCTTTTCTGTACTAATTGAGATGATCATATGGGATTTTCCCCCCTTCATTCTATTAATGGTGATATACTACACTGATTTTCTTATATTGAACCATTCTGGCATTTCTTGGATAAATTCCACTTGGTCATGGTAAATACAACTTTTTTTTTTTTTTAAGATTTTGTTTATTTGACAGACAGAGGTCACAAGTAGGCAGAGAAGCAGGCAAAGACAGAGAGAGGGGGAAGCTGTCACCCTGCTGAGCAGAGAGCCCCATGCGATGTGGCAGGACCCTGGGATCATGACCTGAGCCAAAGGCAGAGGCTTTGACCCACTGAGCCACCTAGGCGCCTGGTGAATACAACTTTTAATATGATGTGAAATTTGACTTGCTAATATTTTGAGGATTTTTACACAGACATTCATAAGGGATAATGGCCTTTAACTTTCTTTTCTAGTAATGTCTTTATCTTACTTTGATATCAAGGTAGTACTGGCCTCATATAATGAGTTATCAAGAGTGCCTCCCTCAGAAAGGATAAATACCCAATTTTGTATCAACATGAATGGGACTGAAGGAGATTATGCTGAGTGAAATACGTCAAGCATAGAGTTAACTATCATTTGGTTTCACTTACTTGTGGAGCATAAGGAATAACACGGAAGACATTAGGAGAAGGAAAGGAAAAGTGAATTGGGGGAAATCTGAGGGAGAGACAAACCATGAGAGACTGTGGACTCTGAGAAACACAGAGGGTTTTGAAGGGGAGGAGGATGGGAGGATGGGTGAGTCTGGTGGTGGGGATTGAGGAGGGCACGTATTGCATGGAGCACTGGGTGTGGTACATAAACAGTGAATCTTGGAACACTGAAAAATAAAATTTAAAAAAAAGTTCTCTCCAATTTTCTGAAGTCTGAGAAGATTGTATCAAACATTTGGGGATATAATCTATCAAGGAAGTCATCTGGTCCAGGACTTTTCTTTGTTGAGAGGTTTTTGATTACTAAGTCAAATTCTTTACTGACTATACATAGGCCTGTTGAGGTTTTCTATTTCTTCTTGGATCAGTTTAATTTGTGCATTTCAGCGGTTTTACCCATTTGTTCATTTCTTCCAAGGTATAGAATTGTTAGCATATATTCACAGTATTTTTTTAACTCTAATTAGTAATAATAAACCCACTTTCCATTTCTGATTCTATTTATATCTTGTTAGTCTAGCTAAAGATTTGTCAATTTTTTTAATCTGAAAAGATTTCTATTTGAAAAAATGTATTTGAAAAAATACATAAATTTTGGTTTTGTTGATTTTCTCTATTGTTTTCTATTCTCTAATTTGTTTATCTCCCCTTGAATCTTCATTTTTTCCTTCCTCCTGCTAGTTTTGGGTTTGGTTTGCTTTTCTTTTTCTAGTTCCATAAAGTGTAAAGTTATTGATTTGAGATCTTTCTTTTTTAATATAGGAATTTGGAGCTATAAATTTCCCTCTGAATTTTTGCTATAACACATAAGTTTTGGTATACTGTATTTTCATTTTTATTCATATCTAAGTCTTAACTTCCCTTGTGATTTCTTCTTTGATCCACTGGCTGATTAAAAAGTGTGTTAATTTCAGGGCACTTAGGTGGTTCAGTCAGTTAGGCATCTGACTCTTGATTTTGATTCAGGTCATGATCGCAGGGCCCTGGGATGGAGCCCCACATCAGGCTCCGTGCTCAGCAGGGAGTCTGTTTCTCCCTCTTCCTCTGCCTCCTCCCTAACCCCCTCCCCCCGCCCAGTCTTTCCTCCCTCTCTCTCTCTATAATGAATAAATAAAATTTTTAAAAAAGAAACTTAAATATGTGAATCTTATAACTGAATATGTCTGCAAATCAGATTCTTCCCTTTCCCCAAGGTTTGCTATAGTGAGTTAGTTTTGTCTTGCTTTATGCTGTACAAGTTTCTGTGCCAGGGATTAGCCTGGGTAAAAATTTGGGATCTTTTCACATTTTTTTTTTTTTGAGCCTGTCTTTCCATGGGCATGTGCAGTGGTTTTAAATACTCCAGAAATGTGACTGCTCTTGATGTCCTAATTTTTTTTTAATGTCTGATCCTCCAAAGAATAAAAGTGAAAAAAAAAAAAATAAAAAGAAAACAAGTTGCAGTTCATTTAAATCCTCTGTAAGACAGCTCCAGCCAGGGAGAATTGAATGGCAGCGTTTCTGTGCCTGCACAGTGATGAGAAGCAGCAATGATAACAGAACACTCAATCTTGATATTCAGAGAAAAAGTCCTTATTGCTCACCTTGGCTACAGCAAGATATGAGCATTGTTGTTTGCCATAGGACAATGGATTGGATGACAGGTAGCCACTACCATTCTTAAGGATGAAACTGACCAAAATTAACTATAATTTACCAAGTTTCAACCCTGCAAGTTGCAAGCATTCAAACAGTCTACAGAGTTCCAAAATAGTTATTTCAGACAGTTTCTGTAAGTACAATTGCTGTCTAGGTAGAGAAATTTGTGGTATTTTCTACTCCACCACCTTCTGTCAGGTCACTCCAGATAATCCATTTTTAAATCTAACTTTTTATAATTATTTGAGTGTTCACCAAAATTTAAATGCAACAATAAGAAAATTACAAAACAGTAACTTCGAGTGATAATTATAATCAAATAAACTAGACTATGAAATGTATTTTTAGGCAAGTATAAATAACTGTGCATACTTCTAGAATACTGTAGTATGCCTATTGTGTTACAAAGCTGTGATTCTCTTTTTAAAAATGAAATCATGAATCATTCTGAATCTCAGTTAAGAAACTAGCTTAAATTCACACAGCTAGAAAAACGGTATGGATTCCAACCCTGATTGTCTAATTCCAGATCTCATAGTCTTTCTACTAATTCTCCTTACATTTTTATGTATCTGAACTTCAGTTTGAGCTGGCAGTTATTCTGTATAACAACATACATAGGCTATGGAGCTAAACTGTCTGTGTTCAAATTTTGGCTACATGCATTACTAGCTATGTAATCTTGGGCAAGGTACCTATATGACTCAGTTTTCTCATCTGTAAAATGAAAATAACAGCACTGTATATACTTCTAATATGGGATTATTCTAAGAAATACCTATATAATCTTTGCAGTGGTGCTTGGTTCACAGTTTTTATCATTAAAATGTTAATCATTATCTATAAAACAAAGAGGCACTTAAGGATTCTATAAGTTTTAAGAATTCAACTACTCATTATTCCAGAACAAATGAAAATAGAGGGTTCCAAAGTAGCTTCAAAAGCTTGAAGGATCTCAAAAGTTAAAAGTGACAATAATGAAACAAACTAGCACCTTTAACTGGAATTTTGTAATTAAGAATCTTTGGTATATTTCTTCATTTTGTGTGATGAGGTTTCCTTTTAAATTAAGTGATCTAAATTTATTCTCAATAAATATTATGACAAGAAAATACTGGTAGGTGTGGATACACTCACAGAAGGGAATAACTAGTAATACAAACTGCTAGGGGTAATATCTTCTTTAAACAACTCATCTTTAATACATTAACTCTTTAAGAATGATAAAAATGCTATATTTGTCAACTAATACCTTGATACAGATTTCAACCAGTAAGTGGTATAAAATTAGGAACAGGTATAATATGCAAAATCAAGAGGGACCCTAAAATTTGGCCATAACAAGATTCACCTGACCTTTCTTTAAAAAGAAGGAAAGAAAAAGAAAGAAAGAAAGAAAGAAAAGAGAAAAGAAAAGAAGAGTATGTGGTAAAAAACTCCTTTATAACAATCTGCTGGAAAACAAGATAAGTTAATCATCTCATGTGCCAACTACATTACATCAAGTATTTGAAAATGCCATGTTTTCTGAAGTTAAATTATTTAAACCCTGTTTCTCCAAAATGCAGCAAAAGCATAGGGTTCTGTGTTATGGAGTCCCATATTTTAGTATTGCAATAGTAGATACTATGTGTATATATTATACATATACATAAAAATGTGTAAAAATGATAATGTAAACAATAAATACTGATTTGTAGTATTTTTACCAAGAGATCAGTCGTTTCTGAGCTATCTGAATTGATATCAAACTCAAAGACCATTTTTCTCTTTTTATTACTTTCTTCTGTGGGTACATTCTTGCTTTCGCTTTGCTGAATTTTTAGTTTCGTTGGTGTCTTCACAGTATATGCCTATCCAAAAAGGAAAACAACATATTATCTTATCAAAAAACCCAATACTGTTGATAACTCAAGTTGAATCTTTAGTAATCAATAACTCTCCATTATCAGTGGCATATATATAGAAATTTTTATAAGAATTTCATTCAGATATTTTTGATACAAAAACTTCTAATTTCTTCAAACAATTTATTAACAGTAGACTTTTTTTCCCCCTTCCCTTCAACTTACTGAAGAAAATAATGGCAAGAGAGAGTGGGGAGAGAGATACTCTCTAGCATCAGCAGTCAACAATCTTAAGGAAAGAGGGACTTTAATTTTTCTACCAATAATTAAGACCAAAGAACTGAATGAGCTTTGCTCTTTCTACAGAAATCCTTACTGATTTATGAGAAAATAGGTATGCTTATATTTTGTTCATAAAGTAATTCACATTAGTCAAGTTTTATAATTTTTTAAAGTATCTTTAAAAAGTTAAGTCAGTGACATCAGCAAAAATGGCAAAACAAGGTATTCCAAAAATCTGCTCTTCCATAAAGCAATAAAAATACTGTAAAATGGTCAAAGTCAGCTTTTTGAGAACTCCGGAAATTAACCAAAAGCTTGCCACAAACTGTAGTGCTTATCTTTTTTTAATGGCCGAACGTCTGTAATAGCAAGCTTTGTGGTTTTTTAACTTTTCTTCATCCCAACCCCTGCCCTCTATGTTACCCTTAAAAAAATAATATCCCACACTCTTTATCTAGTCTGAGAGCCATTAGATAGAGCAGAAGAGAACTGAGAGCTCTTCCAAAGCTTTATTCCCCAAAAGTTGTCATTTTAACTTGTCTAGTGGTTCTCTGAAAGACCTCACTTACAAGGCTGATTGTATTTAACCTGACTTAGAGCTCATTATTACAAAAACTTTCTCCTTCTTGTGAAGTACAGCATAGCATTTGTCAAAACAATTATAAACAAGCATTTTAACTTTGCAGCTCTATGAGGCAATGGAGCTGGGCAAATGACAGGGCAAATGACAGACTAATGAAACAAGATGAGATCGGGAGGGAGAAAAACCATAAGAGACTCTTAATCTCACAAAACAAACTGAGGGTTGCTGGGGGGAGGGGTGTGTGTGGAGACGGTGGTTAGGTTATGGACATTGGGGAGGGTATGTGCTATGGTGAGTGCTGTGAAGTGTGTAAGCCTGACAATTCACAAACCTGTATCCCTGAGGCAAATAATACATTATATGTTAATAAAAATAATTAATTAAAAAAAGAAAACTTCAAACAAACATGTAGGAAATGAGACATCCATAAGGGCTTTGAAAAGCTGACATTAATGGCAAAATAAAATAAAATCTAAACTTAACAGTAATGTACCAATGTATGTTTCCTAGTTTTGACAAATGTACATGGTAATGTAAGATGTTAACAATGTAGAAAACCAGGTGATAGACATAAAGGAATTCTATGTACTAACTTTGCAACTTTTCTATAAATCTAAAATTATGGTAAAAAAAGTTCTAAAAAAAAGTAAGGTCACCACAACTATGAGAATGGCTAAAATCAAAAAGATATAAAATACCATGTAGTGGCAAGGATGTGGAGCAACTAGACTTCTCATTCACTGCCAGCTAGGATATAATTTATGTAATGATTTTTTTTGAAAAACATGATTGGCAGTGTGATACAATAAGAAATATATATTTAGTCTTTGTCCCTAGTTCCTGACACAGAACTTTTAAAACCCATGTAATTTCCTGAGTGATAGGGGTGATCAGCGCATCTTTTGATACGATATTCAGTCTTTGTCCCCCAGTAATGTGATAGGAGTCTTTCATTATTCAAAATAAGCTCCTTTCAACTGGACTAAAGTGAACACTAATGAAATAACTGACAGGAAGGGGCTTCTAGATAACTTGAGGATGGTGGCTAGTAACCAGAAAAACCAAGGCTTGATTACAAGTTTGTAAATCAACTACACCCTTTAACCAGGATCCTGGGAGAGGAGAGGGGATGCAGATTGAGTTAAACATCAATGACCAATGATGTAATCAGTCATGCTAGGTAATGAAACCTCCATAAACCCCCCTAACTGATGGGGTTCTGAGAGTTTCCATGTTGGCAAACACACAGAGGTACTGGAAGTAAGGCACTCTTGAAGAAGGCATGGAAGTTCTGTACCCCTTCCCTCACACTTTGTCCTATTCATCTTTTCCATCTGGCTGTTCTTGATTTGTACCCTTTATAATAAACTGTAATAGTAAGCAAAAGAATCTCCTGAGTTCTAAGAATCATTCTAGCAAATTAGCAAACATGAGGAGGGAGGTTATGAGCACCCCCAATTTAGAGCCAGTTGTTCAGTAGTACAAGGGGCAAACCAGGATTGTAACTAGTGTCTAAAATGAAAGCAGTCTTGTGGGAGTGAGCCCTTAACCTGTGGGCTCTACATTAATTCCAGGTAGTGTCAGAATTTAATCAAGTTGTAAGACAACTAATTGGCATCTGAAGAATCAGAGAACTGGTATAGTGGGGGGGATCCCCACATATTTTGTATCACAGTAAAAAAAACAAAAAACAAAAAACAAAAACAAAAACAACTCAGTCAGTATCTATTAAGATGGAACATAGTATACATAACCCTATAACCCAGAAATTTCATTCCCAAAGACATACCCAACCAAAATGCATACAGGTCAAATACCAGAATTTTTATAGCAAGACTATGCATGAAAGCACAGTCTGGAAACCACCCAAAAGTCAACTAATAATACAATAGATAAATAAACTGTGGTATATCACGCAATGGAATACCATATAGAAATATAAACAGAAAATCTAAAACTTCAAGCAACAATATGGATGAGTCCCACAAACATAATATTAAGTGGAAAAAGTCAAAATAAAAATGATTCTATTTATGAAAAATGCAAAAACAGGGAAAAGAGAAAATACAAAAACAGGTACAGCTAATATTAGAGTTGGGACAGTATATGGCCTTGGAGGAGAAGCCAGTGACTAAAAAGGGGGCAGGAAAATCTTCAGAGGTGATAGTAAGATTCTGTGCTTTAATCTGAGTGCTGGTTATAAAGTTATGTTTAGTGTGTAAAGAATCATCAAGTTGCATAATTAATATCTGTGCATTTTTCTTGCATATATTTCAATATAAAGTTTTTTTTAAGTAAGTTCATTCTATATGAAGATCACTTCACACTCTGAATAATATAAATACAACAAAATAATTTTATGTAAAAACCTCTCTAAGCTATGTAGTTTACTAATTTTCATAACTTCCATGGTGTGGATAATATTGCATATGTAGCAGGATGTGAGAGAGACTCTTCCTTTTGCTCTGGAATTGTCAACTGGGGCACAAAGCTGCGGAAAAAAATGCTAGTAACCCATATTCTAAAGAAAGCAACCTATGGTTAAAGCCAGATCCTTCTCTAGGGCTTATTAAAAAGTGGTTAAACTGGCCCTACAATCACCAAACACCTCCTTTCTTCCCAGTTATTTTAAGGAAACTGGAAGGGGAAGGCATAAAATTTCAGCATAGAGAGAGGTCGAAATATTTTTCTTTGAATTTCTAAGGCAGGTGAGCAGACAACTCTTAACAGTAGTCTAACAAAAAATAGGGGTGCCTTCAAGAAGGATTGGCATCTCATTCCCTTGCTAGATATAAACTTAGGAAGAGATTTTATGTCTTTGTGTCTGACTGGATAGTTTAGAGTAAAAAGAAATTAGAGAGAGATGGATGGTAGGAGGTGGGGTCAGAAATGTAGCATTCTGTACTGCTATTTAGCATGGAAAGGTTGAATGAATTCCCCATGGATTAAGTGAACATGTGAAAGATAGTAACTGAGCCATATTGCTGTTGTCACCTGACACATTGAGGGCTGACTGCTAAGTAAAAGACTGGCAACAAGATGATGTAAAAGTATACAGCAAAAGGAAATAACTGGGGTGATACTGAAAAATGTTAAGTCAGAATCACATCACCCACATCAGGGAATGCTATCTGGTGAATGACAGAAAATTATGTAATCTGCCCCAAATATCTTTAAGTTGTGGATAATGATATTTTAGAAAAACAACAATTTCATGCTGGTATCACAAAAATTGAATTTTTTATTTCAATGTGTGATACCAGATATATATGATACCAGAAACTTCTTTTTTAACTAAAAAAATTATGACCTTCTGGGAAATTTTAGCAACCAACCTTTGGTAATGGTGTAGATAAAGTACTTTTGGCAGATGTCCACAAACAGTCTCTTTTATCTTTGGATTTGCCATGGTCACCTGATGTGAAGTTTCGAGATATATTTTGTGAAGGAGCAGTTTTAGAATCAAATTTCCAATAATGAGTTTCCGGTGTTTCCAGTAAAGGTGTCTGTATTTTCTATATTGAACAACAAAAGGGAATAAAATCATCACTACATGTCATTTTAAAGTGCAGCAATTAGTAGAAATAACACTGGAATAAACTAGAATTTATCCTCAAATTTACTATTAATTGGATAACTTTGAATAAATTATCCTTATTTTGTCACTTTATTTCCCCATTGAAGATGAAAATGCTATCTGCCTGTCTTCACAGAGCTGCTATGAAAATAAAATGTCTCAACTCTTTAAATGACCAAACGTTGAGGATTTGCTGAAGAAAAAAATCTCTATTCCTGGTGGCAAAGAGCCTTTCTTTGTGGTTCATTACACTAGCCTAAAAGCCACAAGGCAGTTTATTCTCATTTCTATCCATTCTCTTTTATGCTTTCATATTTCAACTCTCTCATCTATAAAAATATCAGCCTTTCCTATCCACAAGCCTTATTCCCCACAAAAAAAAAAAAAAAAGAGAGAGAGAGAGAGAAAAGAAAAGAAAGAAAGGAATATAGGGAAGAAAAATTACAAAAGTAGAGAACCAGAAAAATTTCCAGGAGGAAAAAAATGACTATTTTCTTCAATTCTGAAGATATATTACAAATTTCCTCTAAATACTTAGAATTTATTTCAACTTAATTTCTTCCATTTTCTTTCTCTCTACTTTTATATGTATCTTCCCTTTAGCACCTGACCTCTTTCTAGTGAAAGTTCATAATAACTGCTTTAGTGGAATTGTGTTAGGTGCTTTCTAATTTTATCACTTTCTTTGATCACCACCATCTTCATGAATACAATCACAGCAGTTACAAGAAAAAAATGGAGTTTGTACATGCACACACGCACACATACACACACACACACACACACAACAGAGCTATTCTCAAAAGTTCAGTGGTTAAATCTGCAGTAGATTTAAGTTAGGAGCATATAGGATGTGGTATTAAGAGGTGACCACATGCGATATAAAAACACTGGACTGATGGGTGAATAGATAAAGGTACATGTGGTATACACACACACGGAAGAATATTACACAACTATAAAAAAGGCTGAGATTGTGCCATAACCATGGATGGACCTAGAAGTTATACTAAGTGAAATAAATTAGACTGAGAAAGACAAATACCATATGATTTCACTCACACGGAATAAAAAAATGATAAGTGAATAAACAAAAAAGCAGAATCAGACCTATAAATGCACAGAACTGATGGTTGTCAGATATGTGGAGGATGGGCAAAACAGATAAAGGCAAGTGGGAGATACAGTCAGGGAATGAATAAATAATGGGAATAAAAGGCACAGCATAAGGAAAACAGTCAATGATATTGTAATAGCAGTGTAACAGGACAGATGGTAGCTATACTTGTGACGAACACAGCATAATGTACAAAATTGGAGAATCACTATGTTGCACACATGAACTTATGTAACATTGTGTGTTAAATACATATATATGTATATGTGTGTTAAATATTTATATATTTATATATAAAATTTATATATATTATATATATATGTGTGTGTATCCACACACACACACACACAAACACATATCCATTGGACCAGGAGTCAGGTAATATGCTCTTTTCTCCTGAATCTTAAACTATCTTGGCTGGGAGACATTAAGTAATCTCTAAGTACCTCTAGGCTTAAATTTATCCGTCTATATAATCAAGGGACTAAATGAGATATTCGTAGGTTTCTGCCCAGTTCTAGTGATCTCACTTCATAATCCTCTTTCCAGCAGATAGAAATTTTGGTAGCATTTTTTCACACAGTGGTATTTCTGTATCCTCATTCCTATATATTTCTGTCATAGGTGGTAACACAGTTTTGATGAAAACAATTTTTTTTCTCTCTCTGAATTCATCATTCTCAGAATCTCCAAAATGTAACTGTTTTCATGGAAAAATTTTTCCCTCCTGAAAGAACTCAGAATGACAACTACACCACCTTGTGGCCAAATCTGGGAATTTAACACTTCCCTGATAGAATAGCAGCTTGAAAGAAAATGCACCCCCATTCTAGAATGCTGAAATAAACCTCTTCATGATAAGTCATGGAAATGTATGTACTTTCCTACCAGTCACATTCTTTCTGATTGTTACATTTCCAGTGATGCATATACAAGCAGATCTCATTTCATTGCACTTCACTTTGTTGTACTTCATAGATGCTGTATTTTTTGGTGTTTTGTTTTTGTTTGCAAAATGGAAGGTCTGTGGCAACTCTGACCCAGGCAAGTCTATCAGCACCATTTTTCCAACAGCATTTGCTCACTTAGTGTCACTTGTGTCACTTTGTATCACATCTTGGTAATTCTAAATATTTCAAATTTCTGCATTATCATTATTATTTGTTACAGTAATCTGGGATTTGGTGATCTTCAGTGTTACTATTATAATTGTTTGGGAACACCATGAACCACATCCATATAAGATGGAAAACTTAAAAGCTGTGTGTTCTGACTGCTCCACTGGCCTACTATTCCTCATCTCTCTCCCTGTCCTTGAGCCTCCCTGAAACAAAACAAAACTGAAATTAGGCTAGTCAAAAACTACAATGGCTTCTATGTGTCCAAGTGAAAAAGAGAGTCACCCATCTCTCACTTTAAATCAAAAGCTAGAAATGACTGAGCTTAGAGAGAGGAAGTCATGTTGAGAGCTGAGATAGACGGAAAGTTAAGCCTCTTGCACCAACCACTTAGCCAAGTTCTGAATGCAAAGGAAAAGTTCTTGAAGGATACTAAAAGTGATACTTCCAGTAGGCACACAAATGATAAGAAAGTGAAACAGTCTTTACGTATATGGAGAAAGTTTTAGTGGTCTGGATAAAAGCTCAAACCAGTCAAAATACTACTTTAAGCCAAAACCTAATCCACAGCAAGGCCCTAACTCATCAATTCTATGAAGGTGAAGAGAGGTGAGGAAGCTACAGAAGAAAAGTCTGGAACTAGCAGAGGTTCATTCATGAGATTTAAGGAAAGAAGCCATCTCCATAACAAAAAAGTACAAGATAAGGGGTACCTGGGTGTTAGTCATTATCCCAGGGTCCTGGGATCGAGTCCCACATCAGGCTCTCTGCTCAGCAGCAGCCTGCTTCCCCACCCCCACCCCGCCCTCTGTCTGTCTCTCTGCCTACTTGTGTTCTCTCTCTCAGATAAATAAATAAATAAATCTTTAAAAAAATAAAGAAGTAAATTGCCCAAATCAGAAATATTTGATAAACCTAATAATTATAACATATAAGGCTTATGATATTATTTCAATACTGTTGGAATAAAGTATAGCAAATAAAAGCCTATTTAAATGTATTATTTCTTTTATTGTTCCCTCATTATTTGTAATTTATATATCCATAACCTCAGATAAAATATGTCATTTACTAATCTACTTGAAAACAAATAAATAATGGGCATATTATATTGGAATTATACATGACTCAAAACAACTCCATAAGAATATGGGATATCTATTTTCATAATATGAATGCATTCTATATTTGGAAATGAATATTAGATGCTCCTTACTTATTTATGAACCAAAAAATTTTCCAGGGAGATGTCAGAAAACAAGTTTGGTTATAAAGAAAAACCAGGAGAATTATATAAATCTCTTACCTTATCTTTTTTTTCAGGAGTAACGATGTTTTCTTTTGCCTCTCTTTTGAGTTTTTCCTATTAAAAATGAGTGCACACAATGTAGTTACTGCTATTATCAAAAATTAATGCTATTATCAAAATACTTCTAAGAAGTATTAACAAAGAATACTAAACTCTAAATCTTATAAAATAATGAAAAGAAAAAAAAAGAAAAACAAATTAGTTTCTTTCTACAGAGCTTGTTATTTAGTTTTGATTATCTTTTTTTTTAATTCTGATCTGGGGGCACCTGGGTGGCTCAGTGGGTTAAAGCCTCTGCCTTCAGCTCGGGTCATGATCCCAGGGTCCTGGGATGGAGCCCCACATTGGGCTTTCTGCTCAGCGGGGAGCCTGCTTCCTCCTCTCTCTCTCTGCCTGCTTGTTATCTCTGTTGAGTAAATAAATAAAATCTTAAATAAAATAAAATAAAATGCTGATCTGACCAGTATATATCTGTGGAATCTTGGGTAAGTCTTTTAAAACTCTGAATCAACTTTCTCATTTGTAAAATGAAGTAGATGGATCAGATTATAAACTAAGGAATACACACAAGTAATTAACTGTGAAGAACCATAAAGAGATCCAGAATATTATGGGCTTTTAGAGGCAGATATTAATTTTTTCTGTGCATTGAGAAAGGGTACATTTCAGTTGGACCTTGAATAATGAACTTTTAACATGAAATAAATGAGGATGGGGGGAAAGAAAGTACAAAAAGTACAAAATACTTAGGAAAGAACACATCACTTTTGCTGGAGATTAGGGCATATATATATTTAGTAGAGAAAAAAGAAAAATTAACTCTGGCCTGCAGAAAAGAATATGTACTTTGCCTTTAATATGAGAGTCACCTAGGGAACAGAATTGTTAGGGCCCCTAGAAGCCTTAAAGGACTCAGAGAAGGGGAAGTTCCAATACACAGAACTTTAATCAGACTTGCCTTTCCTGTCTATGATGCCTATGCCAATATCAACCTTCCTGAATGCTTTGTGTACACCATGCTATCTCTCCCAGTGTTGCTCCTAACCAGAGAACTCACTTCACCATGAAGCTTATAGTAAGCTAATGTAACAGTAGTCACTATTCTTATTCTGTATCCTATCAAAGACCAATAGTCTTGGATATTGGGGTCTACAATAAAGGGCTAGAAAGCTCTCTTCTAGGATAAATTATATCCTCAATACTAGCAAAACTGCACTGCCTCTCAGAGGACTTCTAGAAGCTTTCAGAAGACAGAAGGGAGAAAGCACCTCCCATGACTGCACTGTCTTTATAAAATTCTGGAAACTTTTGCTGGTCTGGAGATCTTACTTACAGTATGTTCTAGTACAACATGTATTTCCAATGTGTGAATTATCTTAGCTCATACACAAACATGCATCTTTGGTAATGGTTAATTAATTATGAGTTCCCTAAGACCAAAGAGATAGGCAGTCCACTTATGGACCCTATTTAAATTGAATAACTCAAATAGGTCTATAATATGGTCTGACAAACAGACAATTGATTTCAGCCACAGGAACAGAGAATGATGGCCCTGTACCCAAATTTCATACTTGAATAAATTTATAAACCTAGAAACATCCAAATTAAAAGAAAGCCTGGTAAATGTTGTAGAAGGATTTTGCAATAATATCACAAATACATAAGGTATCCTTTCTGCTATCACATCTCACCTAGGCAGAGATTTAGGTCCATCAAACCATGAAAGATGTAGAGAAGGTGATTTATCACAGTCCCACAAAGCCAACTTAATTGGAAAATTAAATTGACTGTTATCCAGTAACAGTTTTGTCATACCAATGGGCAAGTAACATAATAGGTCAAAATAGGGATTGTGTATTGACAATGATCAAAATTGAGAAGAAAAAAGTTTCATATAAAATATATATTGTATAAAATATATGTAAATATAAAATTCAAATTAAATACCAGAATTATGGTTAGAGAACAAAAAAAAATATCAAAATTGTATATGTGGAGGAAGAGGCAGTATGAGAAAGCATTAGATACATTGTTTAAAAACATAAAGGTAACCAGTAAAATAATTCAAAGTACTACACACCTTTTAAATCAACCAGACATACATATACACTTAAGAGAAAACTACAAAAAATATTACTATATAACATAAAGATAACAAAAACATGATTCAATTACATGTCATATCGATAAGGGGTTAATACTCATAAGGAATTCCTATAAGTCAGCAACAAGAACAGCATATAAAAAATGGGAAAAAGATTTGAATAGACAATTCTCCTAACAAGATATACAAATGGCCAACAAGGGTAGGAAGTAACTTCTTTAAGAACTTCAAAAACAATTCAACAACAAAAACATATAATCTTATGCCATAATTTGTGATTCTAGTAAGGCTCAGCATGAGAGCCACAGAGTGTACTTGTGCTGATTTGACTCTAGTCAATATAGTTTCTTAACCTAATCACCACTTACACAATACTGGTGAAAGTAGACACTTATAACAATGAGAATAACTGTCACTAATATACCTGAAATGATAAAAAGTATCTGAGGGGTAAGCAGGCAGTCTATAAAAAAAGAGGCCTAGAAAATGGATAGAGAGTGAAAGTTACAGAAAAAGTGACTAAATTTTTTCATTTTGGTCTCTCTAGTCTGGACAAAGAAAGCATACAGTGAGGCCCATAAAGAATTAATTATCCTTGCCAATATATAGAACATACTAACAATAAAGTCAAAGGCGAGTTTCAAAAAACAAACAAACAAACAAACAAATGAAAAAAAAAAAAACAAGAATGAAAAGATCCCCCTGAAGGAGCAGAAAACACAAAAAGAGATTCACTGGAAAAAAAAACAAAAAAAACACAAAAAACAACAACAAAACCACACACATGAATTTTGTCCTTTTCTTTTGTACCCTCTTATCACCCTGTAATTAGAATATACCAAATCATAATAATTTTATCTTTTCCCTCATAAAATTGGATAAGGAAATATAGCTTGAAGAGAGATTGGTAAAATGGCAAAAAGCAAGTAACGGCACACATATGTACATATATACACACAAACAAATGCACTAGGATATTACTCAGCCATGTAAAAGACATCTTGACATTTGCAACACCATGAACAGACCTAGAGAATATTATCCTAAATGAAATAACTCAGAGAAAGACACATGCCATATGATTTCACTTATATGTGGAATCTAAAAAAACAAATGAACAAACAAAGCAGAAACAGAACCATAAATATAGAGAACAAATTGATGGTTATCCGAGGGTAGATGGGTGGGGGGGCTGGCAAAATGGGTGATGGAAAATAGGAGATACAGGCTTCCAGTTATGGAATGAATAAGTCACGGGGTGAAAGGTAAAGAATAGAAAATATAGTCAGTAATATGATAATAGCATTTTATGATGACATATGGTAGCTACACTTAGGGTAAGCATAGCATAACAAACAGTTGTCTGAATTTCGATGTTATACACCTGAAACTAATGTAACATTGCATGTCAACTATACTTCAATTTTAAGAAAAAGAATAACCCAAATTATCCTCTCAGATAGATACATGGGTTTAAGGCTTCACATTGAATTGGTGAAAAGATCCAAAGCCTGAGGATAAATATATCACAAGAAAACTACAGACCAATATCTCTATGAATACAGATGCAAAAAATCCTCAAAAAAATACTAGCAAACTGAATCTAGCAAAATATAATTATTATATATCATAACCAAGTAAGATTTTTCCCAAGAATGTAAGACTGGTTTAACATCTGAAAATCATCTAATGTAATATTGTGTATTAATAGAATACAAAAAACCCACACACAATCACCTCAATATACACAGAAAAAGCATTTTGCAAATTCCAACACCCTTTTATAATAAAAACACTCAACAAATTAAGAATTGAGAAGAACTTTCCCAAATTGATAGAGGTAAACTGAGTTTCATCAAGATTAGAGAGTCTCTGCTACAAATAATACCATCAAGAAATAAAAAGACAATCCATAGAATGAAAGAAAACATTTGCAAATCTTAGATAAGGGACTGATTAAGAATATATAAAGAATTCTTAAAACTCAAAAAAAAAAACCCCTAATTTTTAAATGGGCAAAAAGCATCTGGATATACATTTCTCCAAAAAAGATATACAAATGGCCAATACCACATGAAAAGATGATCAACAATCATTAGGCATTAAAAAAATACAAATCAAAATAACGATATACCATGTCACACTGACTAGAATGACTAAAATTCAAACAAGTGTTTCTGAGGATGTGGAAGTTGGGACTTCCATGCATTGATAGTAGGAACCCAAAATGGTAAAATTGGCTTGAAAAGCAGTCCGGTAGTACCTTAAAATATTAAGCACAGAAATATTATATTATCCAGCAATTCTATTTCTATACATATAACCAAGAGAAATGAAAACATACCCCTACAAAATTTGTACACAAATATTCACAATAGTCAAACTGGAAACAACCCAAACTTCCATCAACTGATGAATGGATAAATAAAACCTAGTATATCGACTTCAGGCTGAAGGATCGGTCATGGGATCAAGACTAAGCTCTGAGTCAGTTTCTGTGTCTGTGAAATGGAGAGGATAACGGTCCCTTCTCACAGCCCTGGCTGTCATGGGATTAAAGGAGTCAAGACATGAGAAATACTGAGCAGGGTGCTTGGCACAGAGAAAGTGCTGGATAAACTTTGGCAGTTAAATTCTGTCTTCATTGGGTTTCCTCAGAAGCAGACTCAGAATTTTTTTTTAAAGATTTTTTTTATTTATTTGATATAGAGAGAGAGACTGAGAGAGAGAGAGAGAGAGAGAGAAAGAACATAAGTAGGGGGAGTGGGAGAGGGAGAAATAGGCTTTCCAGCAGAGCAGGAAGCCTGATGTAGGGCTCGATCCCAGGATCCTGGGATCATGACCTGAGTGGAAGGCAGACACTTAACTACTGAGCCACCCAGGCACCCTGCAGACTCAGAATTCAAATGCAAGATATTCTTTCAGGAAATGATCCTGGGAAGCACGG